AAGTTGGAACTACTGCTATTAACGTAACGTTAATTGTGCACTCTACTTAACCGACAAACGAGGTGGATTATCGTATTCCTATTTTTCTCTCTCGTAACGTTAAATTTTACCTGTGCGCACCTGCTCCCGAGCTGGTGTTCAGAGTACCAGACTTTATCTAGTTTCATGTGGTGCAAAAATGCATTAATGGATCTGTAATATTCTATGGAATACGCGATGATCTTCCCTAGCATCGCACACCCAATCAGAAGCCCCGACAGAAAGATCTGGATTCGAATCCCGCGTAAGGCAACGTCAGAAACTTGCGTTTTTGTGCAAGAGGTATTATATATTTAGTTTCTTAATAAACACTAATTCTATATGTCATTTAGTGAAATAAAGACTACAGTTACATCTTTTAGGGGAAACAACGAACCATATATCATGACTGAGGAGCAACGTAAACATAAAATAAAAACTTCTATAGCGATTGCTTTCATAGATGAAATATTTTAATTGTTGCATTAATAATTTAATGATGGTGGTTTTCAATTGACACAGTGAAGGTAAAATGAAAGAATGGGTTTTTATATTTTTTAATTTTTTCTGGCTTCCTTCGCTGAAATGGCGTAATGTTCTTTGATGAAGGTGAGAAATTTCTGTTGTAAATATGAAGCTCAAAAAATTGAGAGAACATTTGAAATATGGGTACACAAAAATGTATGAGGAGTATTTTAAAGATAAATGGATTGATGATTGCATTTTAGAAAGTGTTTACACATGATTCTGCTGTCGAGGCTTTTAAGCCAGCTTCGAAACCTTCAATTGTTGAGATAAAAGTCTCAAAAGTGTAGAGAGTCTATCATGCGGCAATGCGGATTTACTTCAAAGAGAAAGATTCGGAATGTTTTATCGTGCGAACTTTATTCGGAATGTTCATCAGCGAATTGCCCAAACCATGAATTCAGAGAAGAGTTGAATAATGCTTGAAATATATTGAAAATGACTTGAAAAACGTGGACTAACCTAGATCGAATCTTACCATTTCTTACAACACACATTACTGTAAAAGTTCGTGGGGAAACAAACATTTTTAGATAATATTTCCATATAAGTATGAATATAAATATTAAATTGACATGAATAATGTTCTTTTGTATAAATATTCGTTAAATTACAAAACTCGTAGGTATTAATTTACAGATATATTGTAAATTGAATTTTGTTATTATTCCCAATTTATCTAAGACAAATAGAAGCTTGTACGCGGCCAATTTATCTTGATATAAGTTTTCAAATTCATTTTTAGACAATCAGTTTTCTACATTTCACTTTATTTCATTCGCAGTACGTTTCGGAGCCCTAATTTGACTTCATCATCAGGTACAGTTTCCAAATAGTAGGTAAAATCGGCAGCTATAATACAATAATTAAAAACAATTATTATTTTATGTAAAAATTTTGAATAAAAATGAAGGAAAGACACAGGACTTCTAATTTATGTTATATAGTATCATTATTGACCTAATAAAGTTATAAATTTGATTTGATTTTGAATAATTTACTGGCAGTTTCCATAACTGGAAGTGCTTTCGTAGCATGTCTCAAAAGAAACACCGATTTGTGAACACATTTGACCAATAAATGAAATATTTTATATCTACACATCTACAAATATTTTCAGTTTGTGAGAGATGCAATAATTCATGAAATAAAATGATGTAAATATGGATCGTTCAACGTGCACAATTCAGCCAATCTAGAAATTGCAATAGCTGTTATTGGAGTAAGTACGCGCCTGGAACCGGAATGACGGCGCAGGATGACTAACTCCGCGACCGCCCCTCGTGACGAGCGCTTTGATTTCTGGCGATCGACCCTTGCGCTGCGCGGGGGGCGGGGGCGGGGGCGGGGGCGGGGTCGCTGGGGCGGGGCGCGCGGGCGGAGCGCCCCAGTGGCCCTTGGGCGGCGCGGAGCGTCCGTGGCCCACGCGGGGCGCCGGCGCCAGAGGCGGAGGCGGAGGTAGGCGCTCGGCTTCCGCGCGCGCTCGCCACGCGACGAGGCCGCGCGCCGCATGTTCCCGGCCAAGTGCTGTTTGCTTCTGAACATGAACCAAGGTACACCACCGGCTGGCTCCTGGGGCCTTCACTTGGCGCTTTACAGCTTCTTCTCGTTTTGTTTTTTTTCCCTATTTTTTAAATCGTTTTTAACGTGGTCATCATAATTAGTCTCACACACTATTCGCAATCCCTGCTTTCAACTCATTCGTATACAAACTGGATGAAAAATCTTACATGTATATTTTGATATGTTTGGTATGTTTAACTCTGCACATCCCTTAATCCTGTCTTGGGATCTTACAAAAGTATTATAGTAGATTAATTCGAAACTTTCATTAGAATTTCTCTACACGAATCAAGGTACACGACCGGCTGGTTCCAAGAGGTGTAGCTCTTGGGGCTTTCACTTGCCAGTTTTCAACATTTTCTTATTTTTTTTAATGATTTTTAACGTGTGTTTCAGTTTGTTATATTTTTCTGAATCATTTTAAACATGTTTTAATCAGTCTCCTACACTACTCGGAATTTTGTGCTTTGTACTGTTTTGTGTAGAAACAGAATGAAAAATCTTCTTTAATCTTACTGTCGAAATTGGATCGTAGTTTGCGTACTTTTAACTCTGACCATGTCCAAAACATGTTTTGGTTCTCACAAAATTAAGTTATTTCAAATTACCTATTTATTTAAACTTTTGAACATGAATCAAGGTACACGATCGGCTGGATTCAAGGCGTGTAGGTGCTGATACTTTCCACTAGTCACTTTCAGCTTTTTCCTGCTTTTTATTCATTTTTAACTAGTTTCAATCAGCCACTCGTAGTATTTGGAATTTGTGCTTTCTTATACAAGTAGAATAAAAAATCTTCGCGAATATAACTGTGGAATCTAGATAAGAATTTTCGTACGTTTAACTCTGCACATCTCTAAAACATATATTTGGTCCTCACAAAATTATAGATTATTTAAAAACATATTTTATTTGGTCAGTCAAGCTATATTTGCATCTCATCATGGATCAAAGTACACAGCAAGTTTCCAAAGATGTAGATGTTATTGCTTTCGACTTGTTTCACGATCGCTTCTTGATATTTTTTTACGATTTGCAAGTTTTTTGCAATATTTTTGAATAATTATCCAGTAGTATTCCAATTTTTATTCTCCAATGTCCTTTGAATTTATTCTTGGCATAAGAAATGTTTGCGTTTTTTACTGACTAAAGTGAATTATAATTGTCACATTAACTTCTGCGTACCTTTAAGACGTGAATTTGGACATCGCGAAAATAAAATATTAGAACACTGTCTCACCTTACCACAGCAAAAGTTGAGTTGGCCAGGTCTTTTTGTATTTTGGAACATTTGGAGTCAGTACACCTGTGTGTTCCGTTTTTCAACAGCGTGGAATGCAATTCTACTTGCCAAATAATCGCAAATTGAAAAAAAGTAATATTGTAAGAGATTAGTAAGGGCGCGCACGCTTCTAAGTGTCATGCAAGGTGAATGCCGTATGTTGTTTCGTCACGAATGCGGAAACGTATCCAAAGTGTTTATATCATATTTGTTACGGACAGTAATTTCGGATCTTTTTCAATTTGCCAGAATGTGAAGAACATAGGAATCAGATTTGATGTGTCAGTGTGCACGCCGCACTTCCAAAATGCGGCCAATCGCCAATGGCTTTTGAACATGAATCACTCACAGCTTCAAGAGACGTAGTTGCTGGTGTTTCGGCTTGTTGCGCAGTGGCTTTTGAGATGCGAGAGATGGTTTTCACGATCACTTGCGAGCGTCGTTTGATGTTACGAATTTTCTATTCGTTTCTCATTGCCTCGAGGATCACTGGTGAAATGATCTGTTCGAATGCGATAAATAGATTACGCTCTGTTAATGGCTTAGCCGATATTGGTAATCATCTATTAGTGGGGTGTTACTGGCATGACATATCGTTGGATTTGTTGTTGGATTGGCGTCGCGTCGATTTATCGCCGGATTTGCACCCACAACACCGAATTCCAAATGCAGTAATTGGTAGGTCGAAGATTGTATGATGAGGTGCACCTGCTACAGGATCACAATTGCAATCATTGCTGCAGGATCAAAATAGTATTTACTAGTAATACTGTGTATAACTTTAAATTGTATGGACTAGTCCTAAAACAAAGTACTTTAACACAAAGTTACAAATTTTGTATTATCTCTACTCAAATAAATGTACGAGGTACTTACATATATCTTCCACTTTTGAGTGTCTGACATTTGTTAATTCTCAATCGCGATCCAACGGACGTAAGTGTCTCGGAAGAAGGGAATAAAATTTAAGTTTACAACAGTTCCCATGCTTACTGTCTTAAGACAAAGAACTACTACTTTATAATGATATTTATTTTGAGACAGACACGACTAATTTAAGGGTTTTATCTTCTTTCATCAAAACATATTTATTATGATGTATTTGTACTAGTTCATAAGGATAGTATTGATTGATTACTTTAAAATAATATATTTACGTTTGATATTAAATCCGTAATAGAACACATTTTTTCGAAACCAAAGTATTATTTTTAATCAAAAAAATCTCACGATTTTCAATCAAAAGTATCACTCTGGCAGAATATAAACATAACCGAAACTATAACAGTATCTACAATTTTAATATACGTCCCTATCAATTTATTATGTAAAATGTAGTACTCTTCCACAAAGTTTTTCTCTTCTCTAAAAAATGACATTTTCCATAAAACCAACAAATATTGTCCAACATCACAGACAGGGAAGATAATGGCGTGTCTGCATGTCCACCTTGGTCTACATATAAATGTTTTACAACTATTTTATTTGCCATCTGTTCTATCAACCATTAGGCAAGTTTGATTACAGACTGTGTTTGTCAATGTAATTGTTCACTTGGTTCCTGTGTTTCTTGCGCTTGTCCGCGTCGCAGAGAGTTTTTGCCGCTGCGTGCGCTAGTGTGCCGCCTCTAACGCGCGCGCGCTTGTGCGTCCGTGTGTCCGCAGGCGCGGTGGGCGGCGACGATGACGGCGACGACAAGGAGAAGGAGGAGGAGGCGGAGCGCGAGCGGCAGGAGGCCATCCGCGAGGCGGAGGAGCGCCGCAAGGAGAAGCACCGCAAGATGGAGGAGGAACGCGAGAAGATGAGGCAGGAGATTCGCGACAAGGTACCCCCGCTCGGCCCCGCTCGGCCCCGCTCGGCCCCGCTCGGCCCCGCTCGGCCCCGCTCGGCCCCGCCCGGCCCCGCCGACACGAAACCCAGCGGGACAACAGGACTCAATCGCACGAGCCACACGAAGTGCAGAGAGACGGTTCAGTTTCGCCGTTACAAAAATGTGTCAGAATTACAGCGGTCAAAATATTAAATCCATAGTTTTAATTCATCACACTGCATAGTTTACTAGTTTATGTCTGTTTCGTTTGTCGAAGAGTTGATTTCAAGGTTAGATTGTGCACCAATTCGGTTCTTATATTTTCAATTTATTTGTGTTCGTATTATTCACGATGGCCCTTCAGTAATTAATTGCATTATCTTGACGTCTGATACTATCAATCGTACCCGGCAGCAAGGAAGCCCCACTCGAACCCGCTCGGAGCTACACTGACTAATCAGTTATCACTCAAAAGTCACATTAAGCGGAAGCTTCGAGCTGATTGGATTTTGCAATTAGACGTTCGAATTTAATGTTTAAAATTAAATCTTCATGTTTGATTCATCACACTGCAACGTTACACCTTTTGTTTGATACAAGTGTAAATGTTCGTCAATCTTCTTGCCTGGACTTTTAGTAAGCTTCATATACTGTGAATACATTCAGAGTTTGTGTTTTTGATTTATTTATTTATAAATTGTTATCTACTTGTCAGTGACCCAATGGACGTACGCCAGACCCCCTTTCCCCTCCTTTCTCTTCGCTTAGCCCGCCTAACTATGGACGGCGACCGACGGGATAGTAAATTCGAATACGTGTGGTCAGTTGGGATTCATGGGAACAAAGATGCCAAACAATAAGCGCATGATAGATCTACTGCTAGCAAAAATTGAACATGTTTGTTCAAAACACATATAATTCTGCAACGAAAACAAAATCACGTCAGTAAATAATTTGGCAGAAATTTTAATGTTCATTTTCGAATATTCCTAATAAAGATCACTATTGTGAATGGTCATTATTCGTTATTGTGTTAAGGTAGGCTACCAAGTACACTTCCTTGATGAGAGGGTTGCCTAACTTTGCATTTGTTACTGAAATAACGATTTCATTTTATTCCTCAATAATCATGTTCATCTAGCTCTAATCTCAAACTTGTTCGTACTTATTCTATCATTTCTTCATACTTTGTCAAATCCAAGCTTTCCCGCGTACGTTAGTTGTTATTGATTCTAAAACCAAGAAAGCATACTAAGTTGTGATAAGATATTGTACATTTCAAATAGTAGTGGCTATGTTACAAATGCATTTAGATTTTTTAACCCACTGGAATCCAGTGAAAATACATTACACATTAATAATCATTCATAAAGACATTATATTTTACAATGTAATGTGTTGATATCATGAGTGGAAATTGCTTTAAGAGTCTTTTGTATGAGTTTTTTTCCGGCACGAAAGTCTAACGCCTCCCCTTTCTTGCCACATTCTCCATATGTAGTCTTCGAAAAGATTGTAGGCTCTCATATTCATTCATAAAATATATTATAGGCATGTGCATACACTCCTCCTTGTGTGAATTTTCTTCCCTAAATCAACGATGGCGTGCAAGTACAATAAAACTACGAACCTACGCCGTTCAATACAGAACACAACGTGCAGATCTCATTTTGTGTTTCTTCGCCAATGCTCTAGATGGGAATAAATGCACTTACAAAGTATTGACGAATGAATACTTGCATGGCAAAGAGATAATAAATGTACAATATTCGATTAATATTTGAAATCATTCGTAATCAATTAAACATTAGAGTACTTCAGGGTACATTTTGTATATTCAAACTAATAACCTGCAAATATATTTCATTTCATAAATGTTTTACATTACCTGGAAAGTCTCTTCTTGACAACTCAAAAGTACTCAGTTTTCCACACGTGATTTGAGTGCACTTCTTTTATGAAAGTGGTTTATTTGTCTTTCTCTTAACTGTGGTGGAACACTGAACCCCTTCACTCGTAGATCTCATCCGATCTTCCCACTTGCTTGCATTGACAAGTGAATCAATTGTTACAAGCATGCTTGCGTATTGGCTTTCTAAACGCGCAGTTCCTTGCACGAAAAGAGGCCAAGACCCAAAATAAACACCCTTGCAATTGCTAATTGATGATTAATCAGGACTATGATCCCTGATTGTCTTGCAATGTTGATTTCAACGTGGTACGGGCAATGTTAAGCATTTTGAAATAAGCTACTTAAAAGTACTTTCATAACAAATGTAGAATAAAATTAAGGCATATAAAACTCTTCTTTTAGTAAAACTTTTCATATTCGGCACTTATTCATTTTAGACTCCTCTTTAAACTTTTCCTATAATTATTTTTATTAACTAATCATGACTAGGCATCCGTCTTTAATGCCATTCCACCCAGTGCATTTTTCCAATGAACAAAAGATCACTAGTTAGTGGGTATTTTACTGCATTTAGTGTACATTAGCAGACAAATTTAGACTTAATGTATTAAATTCAGTTACATATTTTGTATCATTATAGTTAACTTGCGGAAGCGTCGACTGTAGATCTTTCCTTTATAACTATTATGAGAATAATTTCAAGAATAATAATCCTAGTTTTGTACTTATCTTTTCGGTCGCTAGCTTCTCAAGCTCTTAGAATAACCTAAGACCTACTTCTTGTAATAAACCTCAATCAAAAACATGAATCGTTCCGTAATAATGGATATCGGAGTTTCTGGAACCCAATGACGTCTGCGCTTCGCCTCAAAGCGTGGAGTCGGGGAGAAAAACGACCTCCCCTCTCTCCCTCGCTGCCGCGACCCGCTGGCTGGCTGGAACAGCCCCGCCAGGGCCTGTATTTATAGATGGCTCTGGCGTGTGCCTCCAGGGGCGACTTCGATCCCAGCAACTTCCCGCTTCGGCGCCTCCTGCCCCCGTTGCCCTGAGAGCCAGTGGTCAGAACCGCAGCTACGACCACATGTCTTAGGGTTTTTTATTACTCAAAAAGTTAATATAATTGATTTACAAGATTGGAATATTATGATTAGTTACATGTATCATATTGTTCTATGTCCAATGTACTTGGTTAAAAATGTATATTAAAAATATTTCTTTAAACAAGAATCCTAATATATTCGAAGTGTGTTGAGATAAAACGTAAAATGTAACTAGTTAGTGAAGTTTATTAAAAACTTCAAAAAAAATGGTAGTTGTACAATATCTCTGCAGCACACCCATAATATAAGTTTAACAAGCCTCTTATTATGTCATGCTTTCATGAAGTTCATGAAGTTTCCAGCTGAAGAAGAAACCATCGCAGAAGATCAGAAGATGCCACAAAGATCGACTTAAGAAACTCAACTGGGGTCAAATTGACTCTAGTAGGGAGTCCGTTCAATTGACTCTGTGACTCCCTAACGGAGTCAGATTGACCTCGTTGGAGTGAACACGACGCAACTGCCCGAAGTCTTCAAGCGCTCAAGCACCTGATTGGAGGAACTTCGCCCGTCGAACGCAGTGGTCGTCAAACCATTTGCCACCAACACTCACAAAACACAAAAGGAGTATCCTTTATTCGCGCAATGAGCCCTTTTTATTTTAGAATGATGTCAACGTTTATGTCGGTGTTTTTGTTTAGATGAAATAATTATTGAGAGCGGTAATGTACCAACAGCTTACCAAACTAAATTCATTGTCAGTTTCGATATCTCGATATATTCCTCTGTCACGTTAACTTTCCATTGCACATGCCTTCTCTGTACCAATAGCAGTTCATGACTAGTTACATCAAACGTTGAATGTAAATAATGTTTATGTTTCTTGTCATTAAAGAATGCATCTCATAAAGTGACTTTCGGCGGCAAATGTTTGAGAACCATTGCGCTAATAATGTTATTTTTCTGCTTGTTCCCGGTATGTGTGTGTATGCAAATACCCAGTGCATGTTAGTGTTATTGTAATGATGGGTAAAATCTAGAAATTTTGTAAGAGAATAGATTATAACCGCTCTGTTACGGAGTAATTCACAGTTCATCCATTTTTCAGAAATCATCCATTTTTTCTCCATAATCTCTATTTGAGACTTCAAAAAGTAGAATATTAACATAATAACACCATTAATTAAACATGTTGCTTGAAGGTAAAAATCGTCATATTATCATATCAGACCAGATCCTCACCCTGCCTATAAGGCAAGTTCTTATCAAAATATACGTTTTAAGCTGAAATACTATTTTTGTGCACCTCTGTGCTCTATACTCCTCTACGCCTTTTGAAACGGAAAATTAAAAAATTAAAAATACGCCCGTGAACTATAACATTATTTTTGCCTACAACGGTGGTTAAATATCATATTTTATTTGTCACAATATGACGAATTTACCTCCAAACAATTTTGCGACAACACAAGTGACAAGATCATGTGCAAGACTCTCTTGCAGAACTAGTCTAAAGTTCTCAATTAAATAAAAATTTTAGGAACGCAACAACGTTTCTGAAAATTAGTTTTCACTCTCCACACCTGAAAACATATTTTCCTTTATAAATAATGTAAGTGACGAAGAAACTTTCCCGGACTCCGTGCGTGAGGTAGTACTCTGAATCCTCAATGAGGGGTCTCTTTGGGTCACCTCCCCCTTTGGAAATTTTGGAAATAAGTACGGGTGACCACTTAACCATAGTTACCGCATAGGCCCTATCTCCTCTACACATAATCGTAATAACGAAATAGTAAGATTATTATCACTACGGCATTATTCCTCATTTTATTCTGCGATCACTATTTCTTCGCGCAAGCTTAGCATACGCGCCTTGTGACCACGAAACAAATTATACTGAATGGCTAGTAGGCTACTTTTTGTTTTTTTACAGTACATTAGTAATTCCTTTTGTGACGTGAAAACTCGATCGATAGGTGTACATTGATGGAAGTCACCTTTAATATTTTCCTCTCGCGTACTAGTCATCAGAAATGTTGACGAATTCCTACTGTAGATCTTGG